CCATCTTTTGTTTTATCTTCCTCCACCATATTTATTACACTTCTCATGTCTGCAACATCATTCATTCTTCTGTTATTATTCCTTTCCTTCACACAAACTTTATCTACAATATATTCATCTATAATTGGTTCTTCCCATATCACAAACATAGTTTCACCATTATCAGATTGAATCGTACAATAACATTTTCTATCCTTCCACTCGAAACCACATCTTGTTTTCACGACCCATGGCATGCCAAGAATTATATCGGAAGGTAATCCATGCTTTACATAGAATTTCTAAACTACTTTGATGCTATCGACAATAACTTCAACACTGGGAACATATCCACCAACTTCATCTTCATTCAAACTTTTTCAGGTAAACCCTTTTTCTTTTGCATACTTCATGTTTATTAGATTTGAACATGAACTAGTTCTAATTATTGCTTTTGCAAACTTTCCATTTATCTTTACTATCTTTTCCAATATCCCATCATTGTCTTTACTTTTACTATCAACCTTTGTTTTATTTTGACTTTTCTACTACACATCATGTCTTCACGATTCTTTCTTCCTAACTCTATATAACAAATATTCATTACCTCATAATTTAAATTTTGATTATGACTTTGATCTTTTATAGATAGACACAAACGAGCTAAGTATTCTTTACTTCGACACATATAATATAAATATGACCCACATTTTCGCTGATTCCTTTGAAACATATTCAGGTTTTGTATAACTTTTGTAACCACTATTTCTACAATGTCTTTTATCAACATTACTAAGTAATCTTTATGTTTCATCTTCAACTCCAATTTTGTTAAACCGTGTTTAACTTGCCACCAAGGCACCTTAAATTTACCAATTACGATTGGTATAACCTTCTTGATCTTGCACTTAGCAAGTATGAAAATCTTTAACAAGTTTCTGTGAGTAGAACCTTCATCTGCCTAGGTCTTTTATATCACGTAGTTACCCAAACTACTGTGTATTCATGGGTCTTTACTATCAATCTTTAACTCGCTTGGCTAATATATGATAACTAGAGTATCGTGCCAGATACTACCACCAATAATGTATTCACACAGATAACAGTTTATTCACTAAGAATAGCTCAAAGAG